TATAGTTATAAGTTAATTATATATTATATTTACATACATGTATATCAGGTATCATACTTAAGATTTACATATATATATTGTATTTTTCATTTTTCCTTTTTATTGTTCCTTTTTATTTAGTTAAACTTGGAAAAGGATTTGATATAAGTCTACATATACATAGTGATAGTCTGCCAAAGGGTTTAAAAACCCTATTCACGCCACTTTTGTCTACATATACGGAGTTTGAGAGAAAACTGAGAAAGGAAGCTAGGGTTTTGGGCAAGGATTGAAGGCTGAACCAAGCAGGAAGGAAGAGGGTTTGTTCGTGGGTAAAACAAGGAGCAACAAAGAGGGTTCGACGGCAACCAAGGTCGCCGAAAAACCAAGGAAGAAGAAGAGAAGGTTTCAATCCGAAACCTTGAGACAAGTTATTCTTTTATCTTTTTCCCTTTGATTTCGTGTTCTATACATGCCTAGATTAATTCCAGGATTAATCAGATATTAAATTGACACTGTATGCATGCTTGAATTGAATTAAAACTAATTTTAGTTGTGGATATGTGTTATTGTTTGATCTTGAAATTTCTTGCATAGAAACTTGTTTTAATTCGTGTAAAAGATGCACAAAGAGTTCTTATAATTATTGGGATTGATTTTGGACTTAGAACAAAGGTTTAGGACCCTCAACAGAGGTGGTTAGAGTGATCAGAGGTCGCTGGAGACAAAGAAGATGAGTGGAAGCAGGTTAAGAGCCGGCTCCCAAGGGTGTGCAGCCGACTCCCTAATGAAAAGTGATGACTCTCAAGGTGAGAGTCGACTCCATGGTAGAGGGGGCCGGCTCCCTCAGGCCGAGAGCATGCTCTTTCAGTTGAGAGTAGTCTCCATCAGGTTGAGAGCTTGCTCCATTGAGGACAGAGCTTGCTCCGTTGAGGACAGAGCATGTTCTCTCAAAACAAGAGCATACTCCATCGCTGGGAACTTGTAGATTTTGGTTTTTAAAGGTTATGTTTGACTGTTAAGGTAGTTCCAATGATGTTTAATTCAATTTGGGTGATTTATAAGAGTTAAATAAATTGGACTAATAACCGGAATGCATAATCTATGACTATATGCTATGGACTTAAACAATATGAAGTTTTAAATAAATTTGCATATTGTTAACTAAGGATTTAATTGCTTAATATTAATTTAGCAATTTAAATGGATGAATATTGGCATTAAACTAAATTAATTAATTAATTAGATTTAAATAGTTTAATTACATCCTGGAGGTTAAAGCAATCTATTTGAGATGCATGTAAATTTATTATATTGTACAAATTAAATACATGCTACATAGAATTGTTATTTTGCTTAAGTATATGCAAGGATGATATATGTGATTTTTATCATGTTATTTTAGATTATTTGATGTACTGCTTTATCTGTTGCATCATATATTGAATTGTGTGGTTTAATGCACCGGTATAGAACGGTGGCATTTAGGGACTGATTAACCAAAGAAGTTAAGTCCTACTTATTTTTGTATAAGGGAATGGATTAACTAATATGTTAAGTCCTACTTATATTTATGTCAGGTCAACTGAACAAGTTGAATGACCTATCTGGATTACTTATGGATAGATAAGACGGATTATATATATATAATTATATGTCATGATATGAGCTTGAGTCTCAGGATCAGTGGTTAGGGCGCGTATATTGCTTGGGATGTGTAGCTAGATATAGTGTAGTTGTGTACCCTGGTAGGTTTAGGTACTCATGCCCACTATAGGTGCGATTTGCATGTTGCCTACTATTCAGGTTGAGACAACCCTATAGTCTAGTGAGGTTCCTATAGTGTGTATTTATATATAGATATGGACTACTAGTTATTGTTGGATTGACTAGGATGTATACGTGTATCGAATCTCTGCTTGAACTGTAGTAGGGTATAACTTATTTGTGCGCCTGACTCACCATTATTTTTTAGGTGTTTGTCAGGAATAGAGTTCGTTCGTGCTAAGCAGTGATCAATCTACTTCATTCTTCTGGATTATCTACATAGGGGTTTCCTTTATGATTCAGTATCTAGTTGTAGACAGTTGTTTACTATTGATTATTGGTTTGAGTTTTTCTAGGGGTCCACACAGTATGGATTCCCAAGTTGTATTATTGGAGGATTAATTTTATCAGAATAATTTATTATTTAATGGAATTTTATTCCAAGGTTTCAATTAATGGATTATCATTTTAGTTTTCTTTCAGAAATTTATTTATTCTTATTTATCTATTTTGTACTCTGTGTTTGATTATTACCAATTTGTTTTTGGTATCCTCGGGTATTCGGGCGTGGGCGTGGGCGTGGCCAACCCGCATCCGGAAATCTGAGGGTATCACAGTTGGTATCAGAGCACTCCAGGTTCAAGTGTCCTTAGGAGTGTCTTTCTTTATATGACTTCCGCGTTGCGTCTCTTAAAACTTAGAGCCCATATTAGGATTCGTTGTACTCTATTTATGGTTTCTTAGTTGGAGTTGATGTTAATTATATTATGTAATTACAGAATGGTTGGCACTAGAAGGAGGATGTGTCCAAGACGAAAGCAATAAAGCCCCCAAAAAGTAAAGGAGTATGTTATCGATTTCTTTGCTAGAAGGCAGAATTAAGGATCGAAAGTTTAGTTCAGGTGGGTGTTACTTTTAAAGTATAAGCCAAGGAAGGAGTTATTCGTGTGTGATAGGTTACCGCATCTTGGGGCCTACACAATTTCAGTTTTCTTAAAAAGGAGAAAATCAAAGAGGATGAGCCCGAAAGGGATCCTAATGGAGGAGATTTCAGAGTATCCAAGAAATAGGGTACTGTATCTTAAAGATGAATGATCGCACGAGGTTGATCTTATTTGCTAGTAGTATAGCGAATGATATTAGTAGAATTTGTATTGATCAATCTACATATAGTTAAACTTTCTTATCATCTGTAAAAGAGATATATAAGAAGCACTCTTCTGGAGTTTGGGGATCGGATGAAGTTCTTATCAGAATGAAACATATGATTTCATATCATATTCAAGAAGGAGTTGGTATTATGCTGTGATGTTCTAGTTTGCTTATTAAAGCCAAGTTCGACAGTTTACATTTTCGCGTATAAGGAGGATGAGGGTTGAGCCCTTAGTATTTTCTTAGGCAAACATATATTGTTTTTAAGCTGTGTTTAAAGGATATGTTTTGAGGTTAGATGATTACCTACGAAACTATAAAAGAAAAATGTGTGAAAAAATTTTGCAAGTTAATTTTAGAGGAGATTTTCCCTAGAAAGAACGATGTCTTAAGTATGAGTATATTTTGTGGTATTATGTTTGTCAGACGTGTTTTATTTTCTTTAACTATTTGGGATATTTTGGTATGTGGTTTAGTTGGGGACACAAGTATGTGATCAGCCAACTACAGTTTTTTAATAACATAGAGTAATAGTGCTATTATTACGCTAGGATTGTGAGCATGTGGTCATGGAATTTGGTAGAAAAACATAATTCTAGCCAATCTATTAGACCTGAACATGCATCATTATTGTATATTGTTCAGGATGGGATAGTTAGACCATCACTACGAGTCAAATAATCTAGTATGATTAGTATCATATACTTTTACGCCACGATGGTTTATCAGAGGTGTCGGAGTTGCAGAACATCTTTTTGGAAATTCCAAAAGTTGTCACCAAGTTAGAAGGAGGATTTCATACTAGTTTAGGTACTTATTGGAATGACACCGATTGAGGATAGTAGACTAAATAAATCTTCATTTAATCAAGAATTTTATTCACGAGGGCATGTCATTAGGAGGAGTTGCCGTTGTTGCACATGGAAGAGGAAACAAAATCTTTTTACTTGCATAAATAATATGATTTTTTTTTTTTTATGTCACAATTTGCAACAATTAGCTGTTGCTAGGAAATTGATGAACTATTTGAAGGACGAAAAGGTTCCATATTCTTTTGAAGCGAGACAAGAAGTCAGATTGACACTTACTTATATTAAAGAAGTAGGGTGTGTCAAAGACAGGATGGTGAAACCGATCACCTAAATAAAGAAGAGATGCACGGTGTATATGGAAAAGTTATAGTTAGTTGATTTTTGATAAATTGAATTACCGATTGACTTTCCATATCGGTAAGTTTATCACGAATAAATGTGCAAGGATTTAGTTACAGAGTTAGCTTTTGAAGATGCTCTAATTTAAACAATGAGTGTAGACAAAAGCTGGTGGTACCAGAGTAACGGTACTCTCTGTAGATAAATTGGAAGGAGGATGCAAGGACTGAGGTTCACAACTCTTAGTTCTTTATTCATCCAGATAGAAATATGATGCATCACGGTATGCAACAAATGTTTGGAGGACAGGCAGAAAGAGGGACACAGATATTTTGTCTCCAAGTCTAATATTTATTAGATAGTCGAGATTGCCCATCTGAGATTACTAGATCCTCGCAGCCATTCCCTGTACCGAAGTGGAAATGAGAGAGCATTTCCACAGATTTAGTAGGGGGATAGCGGATTTTACACAAGGGTCAGGATTCTAGTTGGGATATTGGTTGATTAATAAATTAGGTCAGCTTAATTCTTGTTTATTTTGAACTGGTAGGACATCAGTTCATACGAATAGAATGGATCACGAGATGACTTTGATGGTTAGAAGTGGTGATTCATACTTTGCATCAAGTTCCATCTGGTGGAAGCAAATGTGATACCCTCGGATTCGAGACATGGGTTGATCAGGCCTAGGCCCAAACCCGAGGGAAATATCAAGCAATTAAAGTATTTTAAAGCGAACACAGAATATAAAGAGTTAAGAATTTAAATAACAAAACTGGAAAGAACTATGAAATATAAATCCTCCAAATAATACTGAATAATAATACCCAATTCTCTAAAATCTCCAAGAGGACAACTTGGGAATCCATCTAGTGGACCCCTAAATAAAAATCCCCACAGAACTGAATAACAAAAAATAAAACTAAACTAGAACATCGAAAGAAGTCTTACGTAAGTAGATGAATGAGAGTCTGTCCTCGACAAGCATGATCAAGCTCTAAGGCTGGAACCATCTTGTACCTGGAAAGAATAAAATAGTGGGTCAGGCCCACGAACAAGTTCTAATCTAACTGCAATCCATACAGTGACTTGATACACAGATACACCCTAAGTACCTCACAATATCTATTTAGTCCATACATAAATATATCCACACTAAGGGACATTCACTGGACTATAATAGGGGTCTCAACCTGAATAGAAGGCAACATGTGAAAACGCACCCAAAGGTAGGCATGAGTACCTAGACCTAATAGGGTACACCTCAACCTATCATAGCTAGCTACGCATCCACTGTATATACACACCCTAACTAATGATTCTGAGACTCAAACTAATATCGTGGTACCATAACCATATATCTAAAGTCCGTCCAAAACCAGAGTATGTCATTCAATTATTCATTGAGGTGACATGGTGACATACAAAACACAATCCAGATAGCCACTTAACTTCTTCAGCTGATATGACTTAACTACAACCAACTAATCCAGGAAGTCACTCAACTTAGTCAGTTGATCTAACTTAAACATAATTTAGGATTTAATATTTTTCAATTCATTCCTTTAATCCGATAGGTTAGGTCTTAACGTTTTAAGCTAAACCCAGTATGCCACCGTCCCATACCGGTGCATACAATCCTCCATATCCATGTAAATTACAGTATATAAATAGAAGCTTAGTAATTTATAATCCAAACCATTATCCAAATAATTGCAGGGAGATATTTAATATTCTAGCAATTGAAATCCAAACAATAACCCATGTAATTGTAGAAAAATATTAAAATTTCAACAATTAGCATCTAGAGCATGCATAGATTACAACTATTAAGCAGATGACCCTATCATGCATTCAGAATAAGTTTATAAACATATTAGATCCCACTGGATTGCCAAAATTAAGTTTAAGCAATTAAGTCTTCTTTCATCCATTAACCGTATACAATGTGCATAAATTTTATACGGTTTTTTCTGTTAATTTAGAGGTAAACTTTAATCAATTAAAGGTCCTATTAACACCCAAAATTAACTTCCTAATCACTCTGGAAAGTCCCAGAATTTTTCAAAACAGTTCAGACACTCAACAGCTTCAAATAATGCGTTAAAAACACATTCAGGAAGCAAATTTGAGAGAGAGCCTGCTCCAAGTCTTTGGGAGTAGGCTCTTTTAAGCCTGGAGTCAGCTCCAGGGTCCTTGAAGCTGGCTCTACAAGTGTGGGAGCCGGCTCCCACTTTTATGGAGCCAGCTCTCACCTCTTCTAAGAGCTTCCAGCCTCGTTCTACTCCGTTTTAGCCCATCTGCTCCATCTCCGGCCACTCCAACCTTACTGTTCTTCCTCTAAATTGAACTCAAAGGTCTTAAATTACATCTAGTATTAATTTAAACCTTGGTTTGTTATAGTAAGATTCAATACAAACTTAAAACAGTGGCGACTTTTTATGCTAAAACAGAGACGATAAAAACCATACATGCCGGAATTATTGCAGATAAGTTTTCACAAAATACAGATAATCAAAGCAAACATATAAAAATCATTCATGGTTCATTTAATGGCCACTTAATCCCCTAGAGACTATCTAGGTGCACAGAACACAAGCCAACGGGATGGAAGAAGAAAAGAACTTGCCTGTGATTTCAGTTATGAAATCCCTGCATCGTGTCCACTGTTCCGGCAACACTGAACTACTGTCAAGCCTCCTAGTGCTCCAGGATAATCCACCACAACCCCACATTGGTCCTCTCTGTTCTTCTCCTTGACAACCCTTATAGTGCTCTATTCCTTTTACCCTCTGTTTTTACATAACTAACTTCACGTTTATGTGCTATGAGTTATGATCGTAAACCCTAGGCTAAAGCATAATGGTTGTATTTATAGGCTTAACTCTAAAACCCTAATCCTTGTAACATTAGAGACGGAGCCCTAATCTTAACCCTAATCAGCCCATATAACAAAACCTACGTTTAAAATCTATGTAGGCTACACTTAGGTGACGTCCAAAAGAACCGTAAGTAAATTAATGTATTTAAAAAAAACTCACGTAACTTAATTACAATAATTTCAATCCAGTAATATAATTAACGCAAACAATTCAAATAATTACAAATAGGTCCACTTATTCAAGTAAACAAAAAATAAAAATTCAATTAATTCAAATATCACACAAATAAAATAATTAAAAACACAACAAAATACTTAATTAAAATACCAAAACTATCCTTTTAAAATTAGGAGTATTACATTCTTCCCCTCTAGCAAAAGGAATTTCGTCCTCGGAATTCGCTCTTACCTTTTTCCAATATTTTAAGAAACTGTGAGCGAATGACATCCTCTCGTTCCTAAGTAGACTCAACCGCATTGTGATGACTCCACTGAACACACACCAAAGGGATAACCGTAATTCGAAGGATTTGATCCCGACAGTCGACAATACAACACGGTGGCTCCAAATAAGTTGCATCCGGCTGTTACTCAATCTCCCCAACATCGATATGCTGACACCGATCCTCATCTCGCAGAAATTCCGTAACATGGAAATATGAAATACGTTGTGGATGCGATCCAAATTATCCGAAAGTGCCAACCGATAAGCGACAGCTCCAACTCGATCTATAATCATGAATGAACCGACAAATTACGATGACAACTTCCCTTTCTTCCCAAAGCGCATTACACCCTTCATGGGTGATACTTTGAGTAACACCTGATCCCCAACCTGAAACTCCACTTCTGCCGACTCTGTGTTGTGCGCATGCGATCTTTAATAAGAGCAATCTTCTCAGAAGTATCCTTCACGAACTCAGGACCCAAGAATCTGCTCTCTCCAATCTCCATCCAATAAACAGGTGATCGACACGGTCGGCCATATAACGCCTCAAATGGTGCCATCCCAATAGTCTTCTGGAAACTATTGTTATAAGCAAACTCCACAAGTGGTAAATAATCCTCCCAGTGGCCCTTGAAATCCAGAATACACAACCGAAGCATATCCTCCATGATCTAATTAACCCTCTCAGTCTGTCTATCAGTCTGAGGATGATAAGCAGTACTAAGATGCAACTCTGTACCCAAAGCCTGCTGAAAACTCTTCCAGAATCCTGACACAAAGCTCGAATCCTTGTCCGATATAATAGACAATGGAATTCCATGCAGCTTTATAATCTCTATAATGTAAAGTCTGTAAAGCCTCACTAACTGCTCCGAAGTGAAGTCAGTGCGAATAGGCAAGAAATGAGCTGATTTCGTCAATCTGTCCATGATGACCCAAATGGAATTGTGATCCTTGAAGGAATTTGATAATATTTCCCCAAAATCCATAGAAATGCTCTCCCATTTCCACTCCAGTATCGGTAGTGGTTGTAGAGCTCCTGGCGGCCGCTGCTGATCAATCTTGACCATCTGAAAAGTACTACACCGTGAGAAAAAAAAATTAGCAATGTCCCTTATCATACCTACCACTAAAACTGCCGCTTCATACCCTGATACTCTTTGTCTCCTCCTGGATGAATAGAGAACTCAGAGTGGTGAGTCTCAGTCATCACATCCTTCCTCAACTCGTTAGCAGAAGGTACCACGAACCGTCTGTTGTACCTCAAACCTCTATCAGCCCCAACCTAGTAAAATGGGACCTCACCGGAAGCTATCTCTGCAACTTTGTCAATGCACTGTTAATCCGTGAGTTGTACCTTTAACACCTTGTGAATAATAGAAGATGTAACTACTATGCAAGCCATGAAAGCATTCGACAACTCATTCACCATCTTCAAAGCATTCCACTCAGTAGTGAAGAAAGCAGAAAGACTACCAACAGGTCGGTGACTGAGTGCATTTGCCACCATATTCGCTTTCCTTGGATGATACTGTATAAAGAAGTGGTAGTCTTTTACAAACTCCAACCATCTGCGCTGTCTCATATTCAGCTCCAGCTGAGTGAACAAATACTACAGATTCTTGTGATCGCTAAATAATCTAAAGGACTCACCCAACAGATAATGCTTCCAAATACGTAAGGCAAAAACCATAACTGCCAATTCTAAATCATGTGTTGGATAATCAAGCTCGTGAGGCTTAAGCTTCCAAGATCCATACGAAATCGGTCGCTCCCCCTGCATTAAAACACACCCAATACCCTGCAAAGAAGTATCTGTGTAAACAAGATACTCTATCCCGCTCTTTAGGGCAGACAAAACTGGTATAGAAGTCAACTTAGTCTTCAGCTCATCAAAAGCTTTCTGACAATGTTCATCCCATACGAACCGTACACCCTTTTTAGTCAAATAAGTGAGTGATCCCGCTATTTTGGAGAACCCCTGGATGAACCTACGATCATATCCTACCAAACAGAGGAAACTTCAAATCTCGATAGGTGAAGTAGGCTATCCCCACTCAACCATTGCTGAAACCTTGGCTGAATCCACCGCTATTCCTTTTTTCGACACCACGTGACCCAGAAACTTCACCTCTCGCTGCCAAAATTCACATTTTTTGAACTTGGCATGTAACTGGTGTTCACGAAGTGTCTACAAGACTATCCGAAGATTTTTAGCATGAGCGTCCTCTGACCTCAAGTAAATCAAAATGTCAGCTATGAAGACAATAACAAATTGATCCAAGTAAGCTCTGAAGACTCTGTTCCTTAAATCCATGAAGATCGCTAGTGCATTAGTCAACCCGAACGGCATCACACGAAACTTATAATCCTGCTCCCAAACCCAAAGTTGATGATATCCAGACTGCAGATCAATCTTAGAGAAGTACGTAGTTCCCTTCAACTGATCAAAAAGATCATCAACCCAAGGTAATGGATGCTTGTTATGGATAATAACCTTATCTAACTCCCTGTAATCTATACACAGCCGAAGTGAACCGTCCTTCTTCTTCACCAACAAAACTGGTGTTCCCCAAGGTGAAGTATTCTTGTAAATAAAACCCTGGCTGAGTAATTGCTGAATCTGATCCCTCAGCTCTCGCATCTCTACTAGTGCCATCCTATATGGTGCCCTAGCAATAGGCGTAGTGC